GTTGTGATGTGTCATGTCATGACGCTGGAGTGTGATGGTTGTGATGTGTCATGTCATGACGCTGGAGTGTGATGGTTGTGATGTCACACCAGATGCGGGAGAAGGTCGTGGAGCTGCTGGAAGACATGCTGGAAGTGCTGCACCGCGAGAGTGTCAGTGCCACGGCGCTGTCACACACGCGTATGTTGTGCCAGCGTCTCATGCAACAGATCATCACACTCGCTCACTGCACTCCATCCGAGGAACCGGTTGCCGTAAGTTCTTATCAAATTATAATTAAAAATGTTATATTACGAATTTATACTTAATGATGCAGTATTATCCTTTTCTGTACTTCCAGGGAAAAATGTTTTATTACTAATTTTTACGTAACTGTATTCTCGGTTCTTTGCCGTAACTCTAGTTAAAAAATATTAACTATTAATTTTTGCGGAACGGTCATCAAGATGCAATATGATCATTTGCTGTGCTTCCGGGTGGAGAAATATTCTATTACGAGTTGTTACGTAACGGTTCTCATGGTCTTTGTCGCACATCCAGTTTGGAATATTTTAATACGGCTGCTCGCGGGTTTGCAAGTCCTCAAAATTTAAAAAGAAAGTAAGTGGTACAAAAATTCCAAATCTTTATAAAGGAAACGTTTCCGAGTCCAGCTCCATCGTTACTTTGAAATCCTTGAGCACAAGTACAATCAGTTACAAGTTGAGGATTTTGAACTGACGATAGAACTGGAATCTTAAACGTTTTCTTCGATGATGATATAGTGAACTTTCTTGCCACTTGTTAAATTAGCGATTTAGTCAATCAAGCTATCATGATACCTTGAAGTCCTCATTGTTGTGTAGACACTAGCAATCGCAACTGTTACCAGCAATGATGCTGTTCGTTTCTTTTGCAGTGACAACAACGACGTTGATTCTAATCGAATAATAAATTCGATTATCAATTATGTGAATCTTCAGGGTGGCTGTGATGTTGGTTCTATCCAAATAATGAACTCGATTATCAATAATGTATTACCGCAGGATAGCTGAGATGTTGTTGCTAATCAAGTAATGTTATTGATGTACAATTGTGATGGACAGAGCGGCTACGTGGTCGTGCTGATGGACATCGTGCGGCAGATGGGTGCTGCCGACTTGCACGCGTTCTTCCGTGAGCACTCGAGTCTTGTGAGCGAACTGGTGCTCACCGTGAGCAGTCTGCTCGACAGGACCATCTTCAAGCCGGACTGGACTCAGCTCACCTTGCTGCTCAACCAGTGAGTGTAATGGAGTGTGATGGTTGTGATGAGTCATGTCATGACGCTGGAGTGTGATGGTTGTGATGTGTCATGTCATGACGCTGGAGTGTGATGGTTGTGATGTGTCATGTCATGACGCAGGAGTGTGATGGTTGTGATGTGTCATGTCATGACGCTGGAGTGTGATGTGTCATGTCATGACACTGTAGTGTGATGTGTCATGATACACCAGATGCGGGAGAAGGTGGTGGAGCTGCTGGAAGACATGCTGGAAGTGCTGCACCGCGAGAGTGTCAGTGCCACGGCGCTGGCACACACGCGTATGTTGTGCCAGCGTCTCATGCAACAGATCATCACACTCGCTCACTGCACACCATCCGAGGAACCGGTTGCCGTAAGTTCTGTTATCTAATTCTAATTAAAATGTTTGATTACGAATTTATACTTAATGGTCCCCATGATGCAGTATTATCCTTTGCTGTACTTCCAGGGAAAAATGTTTTATTACTAATTTTTACGTAACTGTATTCTCGGTTCTTTGCCGTAACTCTAGTTAAAAAATATTAACTATTAATTTTTGCGGAACGGTCATCAAGATGCAATATGATCATTTGCTGTGCTTCCGAGTGAAGAAATATTCTATTACCTACGAATTTTTACGTAACGGTTTTCATGGTCCTTGTCGTGCATGCAGATTAAATATTTTATTACATCCGCTCTCGGGTTTGCAAGTCCTCGAAATTTAAGCAGGTAAATGGCACAAAAATTCCAAATCTTCATCGAATAGAACGTTTCGGAGTCCAGCTCCATTGTTACTTTAAAATCCTTGAACACAAGTACTACTCTTGAACGTTACTCTAATATCCTTGAACTGACGATAGAACTGGACTCCGAAACGTTTTCTCCGATGATGATATAGTGAACTTTTTGAAACTTGTTAAATAAGCGATTTAGTCAATCATGATCTCAGAAGTCCTCATTGTTGAGGACTCGGAGTCCAAGAAGTCCTCAGTCCTTTGGAGTCCTCATCGCAACTGTTCCCAGCAATGATGCTGTTCGTATCATTAGCTGTGACAACAACAACGTTGGTTCTAATCGAATAATGAATTTGATTATGTATTACCTCAGGGTGGCAACGATGTTGTTCTAATCAAATAATGAACTCGATTATCAATTATGTAAATCATCAGGGTGGCTGCTATGTTGTTCATAATCAAGTAATGTTATTGATGTACAATTGTGATGGACAGAGCGGCTACGTGGTCGTGCTGATGGACATCGTGCGGCAGATGGGTGCCGCCGATTTGCACGCGTTCTTCCGTGAGCACTCGAGTCTTGTGAGCGAACTGGTGCTCACCGTGAGCAGTCTGCTCGACAGGACCATCTTCAAGCCGGACTGGACTCAGCTCACCTTGCTGCTCAACCAGTGAGTGTATCCTGTCATTCTGTTGTATCCTTTGAGTGTTTCCTGTTAGCAACTCTAAACTCACCAGGAAAAATAAGTGAGTTNCTGTTAGTGTATCCTGTCATCCTGTTGTATCCTGTTAGTGTATCCTGTCATCCTGTTGTATCCTGTTAGTGTATCCTGTCATCCTGTTGTATCCTGTTAGTGTATCCTGTCAACCTGTTGTATCCTGTGAGTGTATCCTGTCAACCTGTCGTATCCTGTGAGTGTATCCTGTCATCCTGTCGTATCCTGTGAGTGTATCCTGTCATCCTGTTGTATCCTGTTAGTGTATCCTGTCATCCTGTTGTATCCTGTGAGTGTATCCTGTCAACCTGTCGTATCCTGTGAGTGTATCCTGTTAGCAACTCGAAACCCATCAAGAGAAATAAGTGAGTTCTTGTCCGAATAACGATGCAATTTTTGCCCTTATATTGGTCATCCTGACCCAGTTTTGCTCGGCAAAATGGCGTATCAGTGTTAAGTGAACAATATGCGTCATTATTTGGACTATAATTTTTCATCACGGCCCATTCATTTTTGTATGAGTGACACTAAAAGTCTTTGTATTATTAAATTTATGTAGCCATATCTGCTCCCTGCAAGTTTGCGCTAGTTTACCCTACCACTCGGGCTAATTTACCCCCAGTTTACCTCACTACTTTGACTGATTTGCCCCACTACTTGGGCTGGTTTACACCCAGTTTACCTCACTACTTTGACTGATTTACCCCACCACTTAGGCTGGTTTACCCCCGGTTCTCTTTAACACTTCATAAATTCCTCAGCCCTCACAAATAGAACGTTTCGGAGTCCAGCTCCATTGTTACTTTAAAATCCTTGAACACAAGTACTACTCTTGAACGTTACTCTAATATCCTTGAACTGACGATAGAACTGGACTCCGAAACGTTTTCTCCGATGATGATATAGTGAACTTTTTGAAACTTGTTAAATAAGCGATTTAGTCAATCATGATCTCAGAAGTCCTCATTGTTGAGGACTCGGAGTCCAAGAAGTCCTCAGTCCTTTGGAGTCCTCATCGCAACTGTTCCCAGCAATGATGCTGTTCGTATCATTAGCTGTGACAACAACAACGTTGGTTCTAATCGAATAATGAATTTGATTATGTATTACCTCAGGGTGGCAACGATGTTGTTCTAATCAAATAATGAACTCGATTATCAATTATGTAAATCATCAGGGTGGCTGCTATGTTGTTCATAATCAAGTAATGTTATTGATGTACAATTGTGATGGACAGAGCGGCTACGTGGTCGTGCTGATGGACATCGTGCGGCAGATGGGTGCCGCCGATTTGCACGCGTTCTTCCGTGAGCACTCGAGTCTTGTGAGCGAACTGGTGCTCACCGTGAGCAGTCTGCTCGACAGGACCATCTTCAAGCCGGACTGGACTCAGCTCACCTTGCTGCTCAACCAGTGAGTGTATCCTGTCATTCTGTTGTATCCTTTGAGTGTTTCCTGTTAGCAACTCTAAACTCACCAGGAAAAATAAGTGAGTTCTTGTCCGAATAACGATACAATTTTTGCCCTTGTATTGGTCATCCTGACCCAGTTTTGCTCGGCAAAATGGCGTATCAGTGCTAAGTGGACAAAATGTGTCATTACCCTATCAAAATTTTTAGCTGGTGGCGAGCCTGCATTAGGAACCGCCTAGGACTCGGGCCGAACGTAAATCAGCTTCTCTATGTCCGCTTTTTGGTCTACATTCCGGTCCCCAAATCAGACGGCTACCAGAGCCTGGTGAGGGGACTGAGGGGATTCTGCCAACTCTTGCCCTACTCTCAGGAGACCATAAAATCGGCCAGGAGGTTCTGACTATAGTCGCTGATTGCGATCAGATGGCCAACTGACCCAGAATAACTCTAACGCGAACATAGCAACTCTGGGGAAGACGCTGAAGCATACCCCGAATTTTGTTAGGGTATTTGGACTATCATTTTTCATCACGGCCCATTCATTTTTGTATGAGTGACACTAAAAGTTTTTGTATTACTAAATTTGTGTAGCCATTTCTGTTTGCGCTAGTTTACCCCACCACTTGGGCTAATTTACCCCCCAGTTGACGTCACCACTTTGACTGATTTGCCCCACTACTTGGGCTGGTTTACACCCAGTTTACCCGTCTAATATGACTGATTTTCCATCACTTAGGCTGGTTTACCCCCGGTTCTCTTTAACACTTCATAAATTCCTCAGCCCTCACGCGCCGTGCAATGCCAGACAATCCATGTGCCGTTTGATGCCTGTTTCCTTTAAGGACGAATATACATGTATTCGTATTCCTATAATATATTATACACGTTCATTGGCATAACTTACAACTTGTATCCCAAACGAGTTCTTAAAAATGCGCATTTAATTGAAACGCTTATTCTATCCTAGAAGGTTTTACTTTGTAAAACATTTTTTTTTTGTATAGGTGATTTGAGATACAGTCCAACCAAGCGTGTTGTCTGTAAACACGTCCCTGTTTTAGTGCAAGCTGTGCGCTTTTATAAGTGTCNGTATCTTTCACTGTTCAGCCAGCGCTGCAGCTGGAGAACATCTTCGTGGTGAGCAAGCGTAACGCCATCAGGAGCGCGTACGGCGACATGCGCAAGATTGCCGCTGAGCAGTTCAACGAAATGTGGCACCTGCTCGGTCAGCCTTGTATAATAAGAAACAAATATTGTTATTGTTATTATTGCGCTAAGTGTATTTTTTTAATCGAATAACAGTGAGATATATTGCTGGTGTTATTACATTGCTGGTGTTTTATTGACCAATCTATGTCCGAACTTATTGATTTACACGTGTTTTTATCTAATAACAATGAGCAACTATAAACTATACAACTCTTAACAGAAGAACTTGCAAGGTCTCGTTCATCGAGAGGCCAAATGAGAACTGGCAAGAGGACGTTTCGTTGATCCCCATATTCGTGTGCTGAGCCAAACAGCTTAATAAGTCATTTCTGCTCAGGAATCTGCAATGTTTTATTTATGTTTGTAGGACACCACAAGATCTTGTATATTTGCAGGAGCCCACAAGGTATCCTTCATCGTGAGATCGGACGACAGAGATAAGCAGGACGTGGTGAGAGCGGGTGACAAGGATAAGGGTGACGAGGGCTTGGTGGCATCAGTGCTGGAGATGACGCTTATCCCCCAGCCTGAGCTGCGGCGTCTCACCATCCCGCTGCTCTTCGACATGCTCCGCTCTGAGTACTACTCCACCGTCGGCTCCGGTGGCCACTCTAGAAACTTCAATGTCAAGGGAAACTTTGATATCGTGAGTTTATACTCAGGGTTGTTGGTGTGAATTTATGGAAGTATTAACCATCAGGCCACTCTAGAAAGTTTAATGTCAAGGGAAACTTTGATATCGTTAGTATTATACTCAGGGTTGTTGGTGTGAATTTATGGAAGTACCGTATTAACCATCAGGCCACTCTAGAAACTTCAATGTCAAGGGAAACTTTGATATCGTGAGTTTATGCTCAGGGTTGTTGGTGTGAATTTATGGAAGTATTAACCATCAGGCCACTCTAGAAACTTTGATGTCAAGGGAAACTTTGATATCGTGAGTTGTTGGTGTGAATTTATGGAAGTATTAACCATCAGGCCACTCTAGAAACTTTAATGTCAAGGGAAACTTTGATGTCGTGAGTTCATACTCAGGGTTGTTGGTGTGAATTTATGGAAGTATTAACCATCAGGCCACTCTAGAAACTTTAATGTCAAGGGAAACTTTGATGTCGTGAGTTTTAAACTTTGGGGCGATGGTGTGAATTTACGGAAGTATTTATCATCCATCAGAGATAATTTTTAAAATCCGGTGCTTTTCGTTTGAGATAGTTATATTATATAATTATACTAGAAATTGTTAAAAAAACGTTAGAGTATGTAGCTGCTCTGTCATTAGTGGAGTAGATGCTGCGAGTATTAGTCATCAGAGTCTTCGATAATGATGGCGACTAGTATTGTAGCATGTAGTATACCAGTGTAACTATCTGCTTAACATAATTGCGTGTGAGGGCTTATATAGGTACCATTACTCACATGAAGAATATTGCCTCTGGTGTAATAGCTTTGGTAACAATAATTAATGAATTATAAATCATTGTATGTAGGGGTAATTAATATATTTCTATGGTTGTTAGTTTGAGACGGAGGTGCTAGTGAAGCTCGACCACCTGGTCGTACAAGGCCGGGGAGACGACCACTACAGCGACGTGTTCTCCAGCATCCTGGGGGCGCTCTTTGAGAAGGACCCTACCCTCGCCGTGCCCGGCGGGAGGTGAGACTTAATTGTGCCTTTAGTGAACCATTAAGACCTTAAATGCTGCAAATGTCTAATGGTGTTTCTGCTTATAATATTAGTTCTAATATAAAAGTTTCAACGTGGGGTGCGCGGTTCGAGGAACACCCTACCCTCGCCGTGCCGGGCGGGAGGTGAGTCTTGATTGTGCCTTTAGTGAACCATTGAGACCTTAAATGCTGCAAATATCTTATGGTGTTTCTACTTATAATATTAGTTCTAATATAAAAGTTTCAACGTTGGTTGCGGTTCGTTGTGCCGGGCGTAAAGTGAGACTTTAATGAACCTTGTCTCCTTAAATACTCGCAATTGCTGTACAATTTATTAAAATGATGTTACTTATTGATGTGTTTCTAATATTTCGGTTTATGGTCAGGTTCGGTAGCCTGATCACTATCACTTAAATTTCCGTGCATGTTTCTCAGACACATTTGTGTGTGTGGCCAGGTTCGTGAGCCCGATCATATAGACTTGAATTTTCGTACACATTTCTCCACGTATTTCTATGTATGTGTTCAGTTTTCATACATATTTGTGGGTATTTGTTCACTTTTCTTTCATATTTGTGTGTATGTTTTCACTTTTCATACTTATATGTGTGTATGTATTCAGTTTAAGTAGATATTTCTCATAGATATTTGCGTACATGTTCAGGTTCGTGAGCACTATCACGAAGCAGCTGAAGTGTCTGCTGCAGTACCGCTCGATCGTGCAGTCTCCGGTGCACTCAGTGGAGACCCGCATGTGCTGCACTGTCTATCTCCTTGTAAGTCCTCGCTTTTATATTTCTTGTTAATTACACTAGTTTTTTTATTATTTAATTCAAATTGTAAACGTTTGCTTGAAGACCAGTAAGATAGCAGAATTGTTTCCTGAAATTTTGATTGATTCTATGCGCCTGCCCAGAATTTTCGCAGTCCCACCCGGAAAAAATTTCAGACGAAAACTTGGTGATACGTCACGTGATGACGTCGGTTGTGACATCGAGCACGTTTCCGGGATGTTGGTTTGTCTTAGTTTGATTGAAAACTTGAATGAAAAGTCTTTTGGAAATTTGCTTTTGTTATCTACCAAAGCCAGTTGAAAGAAATAAGTCAGTTGATTGTTTAATACGTCTCAATATATTTTTATATTTCGTTGTAATCATCATGCAAAGATTAAGAAATACGTTTTCCCTACAGCGCTTTTACTCAGGGTTTAGGAAAACGGAGCTCTACGTTCACTACATCTCGATATTATTTTAGATGTCATGTTTATTGCTCCCAGAACCTATAAGCTCAAAAGCAAAAATTATAATGTACGTTCTTCTCGCAGGACTTTTACTCGAGCTTTAGAAACACTGAGCTGTACGTTCACTACATCTCGATATTAGGTATTTCAGATTTCATGCCTCTTCCCCCCAGAACCTATGAGCTCTAAAGAAAAAATTATAATGTACGTTTTTCTCGCAGGACTTTTACTCTGGCTTTAGAAACACTGAGCTCTACGTTCACTACATCTCGATATTATTGTAGATTTCATGCCTCTTCCCCCCAGAACCTATGAGCTCTAAAGAAAAAATTATAATGTACATTTTTCTTGCAGGACTTTTACTCGGGCTTTAGAAACACTGAGCTGTACGTTCGCTACATCGACAAGCTCGTAACGCTGCACCTCAGCGCAGGCAACTCCACAGAAGCTGGCTTCGCTTACTACGAGCACGCGAAGATCCTCAAGTGGGACCATGTGAAGCTCCCAGCCGCCCTCAGGTCCCGGCTATTTCCTCAAGCAAAGTACCATGACGAGCTCAAGGAGAGGTTGTACCAGGAAATTATCAAGCTTATGGAGAACGGAAATGTGAGAAGCTTGATTACACGTGACTGTAATTCTAATTAATACTCGTAATAACATAGAAATCAATTAGCTCATGGAGAACGGAAATATGAGAGTCTAGATTACACGTGACTCTAATTCTAATTAATACTCGTAATAACACAGAAATCAACAAGCTCATGGAGAACGGAAATGTGAGAGATTTCGCGTCTCATGTGTGGCAATGATTTTTATTTTATTAATAATTTTGATTCATTGTATAGGTACTTAGTTCATCTTTGATTGATTTAATTTCAATTTTTTTTTAATTTACCCATGAGAAGATTTCAAATTTGTTTAATAGTCAGTCGTAAAGCTGTTCGTGGAGAAACTGTATAGAAGATTTGAATGTTCTCTATTTTGTCTATAATAAAATTATAATTATATTCAGGATACAATAAAATTCATGTAAGTATTATATCATATGTACCTAAACAATTTATTTGTATAGGTACATTACATTTTTTGCATATTTAATCGATCACTTAGTTTGATATAGAAATTAATAACAGATCAAAATAGTGTGTTGCACTTCATGTAAATAAAAAAATCCTACAAATATTGTACATTCAAAGGTTAGACGCCTGAAAATTTCGAACACATTTGCTCTCGTTGTTTAGCTTAATGTGCGAATGCGGCCTGAAAATTATGATTCGAACTTTGCCCTTGGTTTCCACAGATGTACGAATGTGTCTTGAAAATTATGATTCAAACTTTGCCCTTGGTTGTTACAGATGTACGAATGTATCTTGAAAATTGTGATCCAAACTTTGCGTTTGGTTTCTGCAGATGTACGAATGTGTCTTGAAAATTATGATTCAAACTTTGCCCATGATTTCTGCAGATGTACGAATGTGCCCTGGAGCGTTGCAAGGAGCTCATGAAGCACTACGAAGAGAAGCTCATGGATTACACGAAGCTGTCGATGCTGCTGAGCAGAATGGCCGTGTGCTACGCCAGCATCACCGACCCTACGAAGGTGCGACCTGAGCCTGAATATTTCAGGGTCGCTTACTACGGAAAAGGATTCCCTGGCTTCTTGCAGAACAAGGTGAGAATATTTGGAATGAATTAACTGCAATTACAGTTAATAGATTTGGATTATGGTTGTGGTAACCCTGATGATATACAGTCTGGTGCATATGAGATTTGTCTTTTTTTCTGTTGAATGTGGCATCTATTTTAACTGGGATCTGATTTAATTCTCTTTAAAATTAATAACGGGCCAACTTTTAGTAGTTATTTTTGCTGTAATTCAGGTGCAAAATAAGGTACAAATGTTTTTTTTTTTGTCTTGACTTGACTTTAATTTAATGTTGTTAATTCTAAACGAAATACGTCAAGGGAGTAGTAATTTTCCTTATGTATCTGGCAAAGTGGTTTATATCCATCATAAAGTTGAAGGCAGTTTTTTTAAAATAATTGTCAGCGCTGGTATTATTTAAGTAATTAATGTATGTGCAGGAAGGCTTTACTAATTGATAGATGCGCAGGTATGGTTTAAATAATTGGTAAATACGCCTGTGTTGAAATGATGGACAATGTGCAGGTATTCGTGTACCGGGGGCACAGCTTCGAGCGCCTGACGGAGTTCCAGTCTCGCCTCCTGGACCAGTTCCCTGACGCCGAGCTCCTGACAAAACTCGAGGAGCCTGAGAAGGAAAAGAAGGAATCAGCTGAACAATGTGAGCCTGACTAGCCTGTCAGCTCAGTGTGGCTGACGAGAGAAGGATGTGAGCCTGACTAGCCTGTCAGCTCAGTGTGGCTGACAAAATAATTGGTAAATACGCCTGTGTTGAAATGATGGACAATGTGCAGGTATTCGTGTACCGGGGGCACAGCTTCGAGCGCCTGACGGAGTTCCAGACTCGCCTCCTGGACCAGTTCCCTGACGCCGAGCTCCTGACCAAACTCGAGGAGCCTGAGAAGGAAAAGAAGGAATCAGCTGAACAATGTGAGCCTGACTAGCCTGTCAGCTCAGTGTGCTGACGAGTAGGATGTGAGCCTGACTAGCCTCAGTGTCAGCTCAGTGTGGCTGACGAGAGTGAGAGGTTCTTCAACAAAGTCACTTCTCTCATTGTTAGTAACATGTGACGGGGAATTTTTTCCCTTCCATTTTTATGTTAATTTCCGTGAGCTTTAGGACGGACTCTGAAGGATGTTAGAATCGGCAGGAGATTCGTATTTGATTTAGGTTAACCTGATCGCTGATATGTGGGGCTTCTATTTTTATTATTATTATTATTATTGCTATACGCCAAGAGTTCATCAAGCATCCTCGTACCCCTGGTTATGTAAGACGCTCTTCATCTTATAGTTGCGCCAAGATCAAGATTGGGCAGTTTTCTTATAAGAGCCGTTTTTGATATGAGCCATTTTTTTATTAGAGCCGTTTTTTATAAGAACCATTTTTTCATAAGAACCATTTTTTCATAAGAACCGTTCTTTTATAAGAACCGTTTTTCTTGGAAGAGCAGTTTTTTGTCAGAGCAATTTTTTTTGTAAGAGCTATTTTTGTTGTCGTCATGTATATGAAGTTCATTGTTACCCTGGCCACAAAGATAATAGGCCAAGAGTTTAGTCACTAATTAGCTTTTAAATTTATTTCTGGTGACCAAGAGATACAAACACCTCAGTCTCGTGTCATGGACACCAGCTTGGTAATTGTAGAACCAAAATTTGATATCAGATCTTTAAGTGCTATTTATGAATTAATTATATGATAATCATAACCGCTCTAATTGCAATATTTTGAATGATATTGCAATTAGAGCGGTTATGATTATCATATAATTAATTCATAAATAGCACTTAAAGATCTGATATCAAATTTTGGTTCTACAATTAACAAGATGGTGTCCATGACACGAGACTGAGGTGTTTGTATCTCTTGGTCACCAGAAATAAATTTAAAAGCTCATTAGTGACTAAACTCTTGGCCTATTATCTTTGTGGCCAGGGTAACAATGAACTTCATATACTTGACGACGACAACAAAAATAGCTCTTACAAAAAAATTGCTCTTACAAAAAACGGCTCTTCCAAGAAAAACGGCTCTTAGAAAAAAACTATCTTGCATGCCAGCATCTATTTAATGTTAACTCGTTAAAAGTCAATGAACATATTCATGTTATAGTAGGTAGTTTAAATTTAGTTTATTCACGCATTCCATGTTATAGTTGTCTTGATCTGTAGTTAGGTATGTTTTCCCTTTTACAATATTCCCCATACAGTAATTCCTGGGCAAAATTTGTAAGTTTGCTTCTTTTCTTCGGTCATAATATTCCTAATTCCAAAAATTTTTGACATGTATCGCAAAAAATTTCAATGTTTTCTCGTTTTTTCCAGACATTCAAGTTAACAAAGTTGACTGCGTGGTGACGGAGAACAAGTTCACGAGCCCGGGAGTGTCGCAGCACATCCGCAAGTTCTACCTGCACAACATGGTCCGCAAGTTCATGTACTCGCGCCCCTACCACGAGGGCATTAGGATCAAGGATAACGAGTTCGCTACCCTCTGTGTCGAGAGAACTACCCTCACTCTCACCTACGACCTACCGGGTATGATCTACTTGTCTACTTGGTGTCATCTACCTCTACCTGGTATGACTATCATACCCTCATTCATATATGGTGTGTGATTGAAGCTTGCAATACTTTTATTACATTTCTATTTCTATTATTTATGCTAAACATTTCTTCCTCTTGAATGGATATTTTTCTTAAGTGTTTCGCTTCATTCAAACCTCCGATCTCTTTTTCCAGAACTCTTTCAACATCAACTCTTCTCTCGTAACTCTTCTTTTGCTAACACTTTGCGGCTACTTAACTACACATGGATCAGATGCCCTCCAAGAAGAAACATCTTATAAATATCCTATTTTCATCCTATAATTGTTATAAAATAAATCTAAAATGATACTAAAATTTTGCAGGAATCTTGCGGTGCGACCAGATGCGCTCCAAGAACAAACATCCTATGAATATCTTATTGTTATCCTATTGTTATTCTATCATTATTCTAAAATGAATCTAAAATAATACTAAAATTATGCAGGAATCCTGCGGTGTGACCAGATGCTCTCCAAGAACAAACATCCTATGAATATCCTATTGTTATCCTATCATTATTCTAAAATGAATCTAAAGTTATTCTAAAATTCTGCAGGAATCCTGCGGTGCGACCAGATGCGCTCCAGGAACAAACATCCTATAAATATCCTATTGTTATCATATAATTATCCTACAATAAATCTACAATAATACCAAAATTGTGCAGGAATCCTGCGTTGTTTCCCCTGCGTATCGACCAAGACCGTGAAGCTGCGGCCCCTGGAGTACGCCATTGACCAGATGCGCGCCAAGAACAAGGCTCTCGAGGACCTGGTCGTGTCCCACGAGCTGCACCCCCAGCAGCACGCGCTAGACAGCCTCACGCGCGAGCTTAATGGCATCGTCGACGCCGCCGTCATGGGGGGCATAGCTAATTATGAGAAGGTGGCTCTCATTAGTGGGCCTCATTAGCTGCCAGCTGGTCTGCCTCATTAGTGTGCCTCATTAGCTGTTAGCTGGTCTGCCTCATTAGAGTGCCTCATTAGAGCGCCTCATTAGCTGTTAGCTGGGGTGCCTCATTAGCTGTTAGCTGGTCTGCCCCATTAGCTGGTCTGCCTTGTTAGATAAACATTAGCTAATTATGAGAAAGTTAACCTCATTAGCTGGTCTGCCTCATTAAATGGTTGAAGGGCCTGTTACGAAATGATGACGTCATAAGAGATCTCGACAATAAGTATACAGTGTGCCATTATGGTAGAAAACTGTTTAATGGTGAATAATGAACAGGTTGTACAAAATAATTCTGCGCTCATTCAAACCTCCGATGTGTACAGGGGGCACATCGGAGCACAACTCAATAATATATGATTTTCATATATTACTTTATTTACTTGAATTGAGATATTTTTACTATGATAACTAATTTTTTTTTTTACGCTAAATTTTGTGTCACGTTGAAGGACGTATGTGTACAATAACTCAGACTCGAGCCAGACAAACAAATAACAGTTCGTTCCTATCAAATAGTAATGATGATATTTGATGACATTATTGCAGGCGTTCCTGCAAGACGCGTACCTTGAAGCTCATCCTGAGGACGCTGAGTTGCTGGACCAACTGAAGGCGCTCATCCGGGACATGGTGAGTTGCTGGACCAAATGAAGGCTCTCATCCGGGACATGGTGAGTTGCTGGACCAACTGAAGGCTCTCATCCGGGACATGGTGAGTTGCTGGACCAAAATTTTATTTAATGACGAAATAATTCGTTTTAGCCTTAGCAGTTTTTTTGCTGATGTGTAAACCAGTTCAAATATTTCGCTATTATTATTTCTAAATTCCTACACTATATAGTCAGTATATTATAGTAGCATTTTGCCATTGTTTCGGGGTTATTGTGTGCATACTATAACTTTTATTTGTGTACCGGTATATCATTACTTAAAATATATATCATTACATCAGCATTACATTTTCACGAACTATAGTAAGACTGCATAATTTTAAGACGTTACAGGCATACCTAGTCTTGGTACATTCATATCTATGCAATCCGACAAATGATAAACATAAATTTCAGATATCAGTTTTTAATAAACATGCTACTGATCAACTATTAATTAACTGAATTGATTATGATGTTAATATTAAAGGAATTATTGCACTTGCAGATGCCGCTGGTGGAGCTGGGCATGATGGTGCACCAGGACCGCGTTGATGACGACATGATGCAGCTGCACTGGCACATGCTCTCTATGTTCACCAACATGAAGAAGGCCATTACTGAGAAATACGGAGAAGCTGTGAGTTACATTTACAAGAAATACGGGCAGGCTGAAATATATATTACCAAAAAATATGGAGAAATAGTAGGTCGCATTTAAAAAAAATAAAGGCAAAGTAAAATATATAGTATATTATATATATATAGTAGTATATATATATATATATAGAAGGCCATTAACGAGAAATACGGAGAAGCAGTAGGTCCCATTTTCAAGAAATACGGGCAGGCTAAAATATATATTGCCAAAAAATACGTAAAAACAGTGAGTTCCTTTTGAATTGGCTGAGAAATTTAAAGTTAAACGTCAAGAATAACAGGTTAAAAATTCAGAAATTCAAAATTTGAAAAGTAGGAATTTTGGTCAAACTTTAATGATTTGAGCAATGCAAGGCTGCAATTCTAGCCTAATTTTTAATTGAAGTCAAAAACTTTATCTAAGATTTGCTTTATAATTTGTTACGGTTGCAGTGCGGTGTGTTTTTAAAGGTTTTAGGCATTCTTAGTTTATTGTACCTACGCTAAATTATTCGAGAATAATATCAGGGTGTGGAATTCAGGTGCGATAGTATCTGAATATAATAAATAATATAATAATAATATTCATGTGTTACCGTAAAACGGTAACACATCGTTTTCTTATCTTAGTCAATGGTACAAGTCAATGGTCCAAATCATTGGTCCGAGTCAATGGTCCTAGTTGCTAAAATTTAACGGTGAACACGGCCTATTGGAAGGCTGGCTTGCCCCTCATAACGAAACTGAAGTTTTTGGAAGAAGCGAGTGTCTAAGTTGTGAATGATTGTTCACACAATATACATGATTATTATTATCAGATATTATGATTCACAATCAAATGCATTAACCGTTCGGTGCACCCGCCTTCATGAAGGCAGGCAATCACATAATTGCCGATACAATTATAATTGAATGTATCATAACTCATAAACAATTGATGATCTTATAACTCATAATCATAATCGACTATCTTATAACTCATAATCATAATTGATTTTCTTACAACTCATAATCATAACTGATTATCTTACAACTCATAATCATAATCAATCATCGTACAATTAATAATCGTAATTGACTATATTATAACTCCTAATCAAAATCAATCATCTCACAGTTAATAATTATAATAGATTATCTTACAACTCCTAATCATAACTGATTATCTCACAACTAATAATGATAACTGACTGCAGGCGCTGCCAGACATCGGCGTGAAGGTGCGGGCGCTGCGGGCGGCGCCGGCGGTGCGGCAGACGAGCGTCGATGGCAGCCTCAGCGGGTCTCGGGGCTCCCTCAACCCCCGCCCTCACGAGTACGTCTCTCTCAGAAATTAATGCGTCTTATTGTCCAAATACTGACTCTATTTATGAAACTATGCTTAATGGGTCGTATTGTCCAAATACTGACATTAATTATGAAACTATGCAGTCCGCAAGAGGTTAAAGTTCCTACCCTAGTTTGCGGATACAAATTTGAGTTTGATTTTTTCAAAGTTCTTCCAAGTTGAAGCTCGGGTAGTAGTGGTTATTTATTATCTACTTAATATTTTAATGATTCTCATTCGTGACTTCAAAATTTTTTTACACATTTTAATTCATACGTTAAGCGTAAGATTTCTTCAACGTTCTGCTCAGAATTTATCATCGCGTTCACATTATTTTATAAAGCTTTGCTTACCGTCAAATCTGCCTTTAATTTTTGCCGGCATTGAATTTTACTCATATTAATGAATACTATAGGAATATTTTCACATAACTCTTATTGCCAACTCGTACTCGCCTCGTATTTTATTCACAAGTCTTTAGTCTATTCACGAATCCTTATAAAATTTATTCACATATATTATATCTCGGACAGTCCCGCCAGCAACTCGAACCGCCTCAGCGTCGGGAGCTCCACCGGCTACGGCACCATGGGGCGCGCCAAGTCCTCCAAGATCTTGAGCTCCGCCAGGTGCTGTGTAGTGTGTGGTGTGTAGTGTTTGGTGTGTGGTGTGTAGTCTGTGTTTCAGGGTATAGTGTGTAGTTTGTGGTGTGTAGAGTGTGTTCCAGGGAATAGTGTGTGGTGTGTAGCGTGGTTTTCAGGGTATAGTGTGAAGTGTGTGGTGTTTGGTGTGTAGTGTGTGTTCCAGTGTATAGTGTGTGGTGTGTAGCGCGTGTTCCAGGGTGTAGTGTTCGTCAAAATGGCGTGTAGTGAGTGTCTTAGTGTAATGTATTTACATTGCTGATGCCTACAAAGGCTAAATTAGTTGAAGGTTTCCAAGTAAATTTTGTAAATAAACACATGAACAGACTTTAACAGGGAAGTAAACAGATTTACACAGAGTATTTCTGTAGATTTGTTATTCAATGTAATTTTGTAGATTTATACAGAGTAGTTCTGTTTATTTATACAGAGTAGCTCTGTATTAGTAGTTAGTATGAAGTTCTTTATTTATATACAGTATTTTGTCTATTTATACACAGTAACTCGGTATATTTATGCTCACATCAACGACTAAGTTCCTTCATGCATCGGCATTGCTAAAGCGATCAATGGCTTTCATTCCCATTATTATCAATATTATTTATTACAATATTATTATTATCATCATTATTAATGTTATTATTATGATTATCCTTATAATATTATAATAATTATTATCTTATTGATAATATTAGTAATATTATTACTAATTTGCTAAACTTCGGAGCACTATTTTTTTGCTATAGTTTTACTGTTAACCCGTGTCTTAATTATAAATATTCTAAGGTGTAATGTTGAATGTTAACTCTTAATTATATATTTTCTAAGGTGTAATGTTGAATGTTAACTCTTAATTATATATTTTCTAAGGTGTAATGTTGAATGTTAAGTCTTAATTATAAATATTCTAAGGTGTAATGTTGAATGTTAAAGAAGTTGTAAATGTCGTACAGGAATTTATGGCGGCGCGACAGCAGCGTGACGGCGAGCCAGTTCTTCGCCTCCCACGCTGCCCCCCAGCAGCAGCCTGTCGCCATCACCGAGGACGTGAGTTGTGCTACTCATACACTCAGAAACATGAGTGGCATNGGTGATTGCGGCCGCTCCGCTCGTTGCTTGCGGTGATTGCGGCCGCTCCGCTCGTTGCTTGCGGTGATTGCGGCCGCTCCGCTCGTTGCTTGCGGTGATTGCGGCCGCTCCGCTCGTTGCTTGCGGTGATTGCGGCCGCTCCGCTCGTTGCTTGCGGTGATTGCGGCCGCTCCGCTCGTTGCTTGCGGTGATTGCGGCCGCTCCGCTCGTTGCTTGCGGTGATTGCGGCCGCTCCGCTCGTTGCTTGCGGTGATTGCGGCCGCTCCGCTCGTTGCTTGCGGTGATTGCGGCCGCTCCGCTCGTTGCTTGCGGTGATTGCGGCCGCTCCGCTCGTTGCTTGCGGTGATTGCGGCCGCTCCGCTCGTTGCTTGCGGTGATTGCGGCCGCTCCGCTCGTTGCTTGCGGTGATTGCGGCCGCTCCGCTCGTTGCTTGCGGTGATTGCGGCCGCTCCGCTCGTTGCTTGCGGTGATTGCGGCCGCTCCGCTCGTTGCTTGCGGTGATTGCGGCCGCTCCGCTCGTTGCTTGCGGTGATTGCGGCCGCTCCGCTCGTTGCTTGCGGTGATTGCGGCCGCTCCGTTCGTTGCTTGCGGTGATTGCGGCCGCTCCGCTCGTTGCTTGCGGTGATTGCGGCCGCTCCGCTCGTTGCTTGCGGTGATTGCGGCCGCTCCGCTCGTTGCTTGCAGTGATTGCGGCCGCTCCGCTCGTTGCTTGCGGTGATTGCGGCCGCTCCGCTCGTTGCTTGCGGTGATTGCGGCCGCTCCGCTCGTTGCTTGCGGTGATTGCGCGCCAGCAATCTCTAAAGTCGTGTACGTGATTTTATTCGTCTTTATCGGAATGTTCTGCATGCACTCTGATATTATTTTACAAGAGGATAAGAATATCTCTCGTTGGGCGATGCACTGTATGAGCAATTAATGTTTTCATCTGATTGATTTTGTGTTCAACCTACTAGCTAACCCTTGTGATAAATATGCTTCACACTTCACTATGTAATTTATTAATTAAGTCGTCTGATAAATATGTCTCTGCTTTGTGCCCTTCACTATGTACGCTCGGAAAAATGACTGGGTCATATTGTCAAAATAGTGACCCACACGTTGCACTGATACACATATTAGCCTGGCCAAACTTTATCAGGATGATTCACAAAAGCGCAAAAAAAGTATTGCGATGTTTGACCTAAGTCTCATTCATTGCTTTGAGTGTATAATTGTATTTAATTTGACGTTTGCGATGGCTGTGATCGCACTGTGGGGACGAAAATGCTATTGACTGTACCAGATGTTCTCTATACACTAAAAAAAGAATAGGTCATAGTGTCCAAATAGCGGCACACTTTCTGCTCGAGGCACTGATAAGCTACATTGCTGGGCCTATACTTTCAAAAAAAGTTAAAGAGATCGTAAGTTCATCAGCCAATCATTGGCGGCCTATCAAGCAAAATCCACCAATCATAGACAAGAAAATAGAGCGTAAGTACTTACGTTCACTTATCGAGTTTTGAAAGTATGGCCCCAGGTCAGCATGACTAACACATGGGAAGAAGTGCATCGCCTTTTTGACCAGATGTCGCTCACTCCTCTGAGTGTACACTGTGGAAGGAATGAAGGATTATATGTTTTTTTTTCTGTGGTTGAATATGAAGTTGAGTGAATATAATGGTAGGGTCATAACTTATCGCTTAATATCATCAAAGATACTGGGGAAAACGTTAGCAGCTTCACTCCTCGTTGAAAGTTATCTATTTACAATTTTTACCTGCCAAATTGTGGTTCAATTTAAAGAAACGTCTTTTGCAATTCTCGTACAAGTATAAACAAATTTGCTTATATGATATTTTACATAAAAACCTATCATATTTCATAGTACCTATACCTTCTTTGATTATCTGGTATTATATATCTTATTTCAGCTTTCCTGGCTGAAACTGTGCCAATTATTATATCTTCTTAGTGTTACTGAAACTCCTATTTTTGTGGATAGTTAATAAAATTTGTAGTTTTTTTATACATGAAACTCTATTTCCAGTCAACGGGGTTAATTTAATTCATGAAACCATTAATAATTGCAGCGAAATCGTATGTTCAGGTCCGTGTCCTGCTACGGACGTCCCGCCGCCGCTCCCTGTAAAGAAGAAGACGGCGTCTGTACACGAGTCCCCGGGACGCGTCTCTTGCCGCATCACATCGGTAACTTGCTTATATATATGAGATTTTTGTTGCAGTTTATGTGTTTGTTGCATATTAACTTGCTGGAATTTAATATTGTTATGTTGAAGTTTATTAATTAAATATTTGTCTTAATTAATGTGTTAGCGGTGTAGTACAAAACTTGTCCGAGTGATGCAGAGCAAATGAATTTATTATATAAATAAATTTTCATTCATTCTCGTCATTATTTGAACACTATTCTATTTCATTATTAAATTGAGCCCCAATCAAAGTCCTGTAAGCAGATTCTGGTTCCTCATATACAGATTATGCACGATGCTATTAGAATTTATAGTTTTTTACATCCTAAGTTAACTATCACAGTGTCACTGGAATTTGATTAAACACTGAATCTAGTGTCTATCCACTGGATCAAATGAATCCAGTGACACTGGAATAAGACACCAGCTCGGTCTTCAGACCTATCATGCATGCCTCCATCCCTCATAGGCAAAGTTACTTGCATTATAATTAACTGTCGTGATTGTGAACGTAGAATTGCGTGGAGGCGTTCCAAAATATTCCTCCTCACGTGGGTGGCTCATGCGCCGGTCTTGTCCCCAGAGTCTGGGGAACAACCTCAATGATTGGGGGGAACAGGCTCCTGAGAAGCCCCCTCGGCCCCAAGTATTACTGCAGACCTCTTCCCTCTACCCCCACGCTGACCCCAACGCCATCAACATCAACAACATCAACTCCAACGCTATCAACAACAACATCAACGGTTCTCATTGATGCCATCATTGATCTCAGTCACGACCTGCTGCTCACCTGACCTGCCAACACTTGCAGGTCACGATCTACAGGTCACTCTGCAGGTCACGATCTACAGGTCACTCTGCAGGTTATAAACCCTGGCAGTTTATCATAAGGAAATATGATGTGTTTTGTATTCCATATTCCATGAAATAATGATAAATATAACAATCTCAATTCAGTATCGCTTGCTACATAATAAAATTTTCGTATCATCTGTTGATTCCAACGATGATACGGAATGATCAATCATTCGATGATTTATTTATTTAGTCTGTTAAGCCCTTCTGTAACGATTCATCATCAAATATCATTAAGCTAGACTGCTAGACTACTGGGATCGAATTAACGCCTTGAGTTTGTTGATGTTCGCCCGTTTATGAATGTTGATTTCAGAAATAATTTAATTGCGCTGTCTTTCAACTTGTCACAAATTATGCATGTCACAAATTGCCATTTCTGTGCATATCGACGTACCTGCGTTGCTTAGTTACTATTTATATTTGCGTGCGCTGCGAGTACCTCGCTGAATGTGGTGCCGACGGCTTACTTTAACGAGGCTTCAATGTTGAACGCGGTGGCGAACCGTGGTCGTAGTGGCGAACCATCGTCGTGGTGGTGCACCACGGTCGTGGTGGCGAACCATCGTCGTGATGGTGAACCATGGTCGTGGTGGTGAACCATCGTCGTGGTGGTGAACCATCGTCGTGGTGGCGAACAATGGTCGTGATGGCGGACCATCGCCGTGGTTGCGCACTGTGGTCGTAGTGGTGAACCATCGTCCTGACTAACCATCATCATTTGCTGTATATTAATCCTATGTGCGATGTGATTGGTATGAGGGACCTAATGTCTTTATTCAATTCCTTCTGAAGTTGAAATTGGAATAAATGGTCAAGATGATTGATATATTTTGCCTAAGTGATTCAGTGCCTATGTAACTTGTTGAACTGATAAGGAGCTTCAAAATTTCTTCATGAAACGTGATGTATAATGTGTGCCTTACTAATGAATTTTTTTATCATGAATTTTTTAGGTAGAATAAGAAATATCTTAAAAATAGAATGTACATTAGTGGATTAGAAAGCATTTTAAACCTTTGCGCTAGATGATATGCTAGCTCGACCTCGATTGTTTTGATTTTCTTTCACAGTGTATGACTGTATTTTGTGTATGTTTTAATACGTCTTCTCGTGCATGTGTAATCGTGACGTTACTGCTTCCGTAGTAAAAACACAATGGAGTTTCGGAACAGAATCAAATGAATCAGAAACCGATTAATAAAGAGTGTTTTTTCTCCTAGGATCAATTACGACTGTCATGTTTCTAATGAAAAGTTACTTAGTAAATAGTAACTTTCCATTAAATTAAATGTTGCTCGACTCAAATCATGACTGGTCTTGATTCTTCGGTTGTTCTTTTGATAGACAATAATCGCTTTAGATTTGAGCGAAAGCGGCGGTTCTTGCAACAATTGGAGATTTGATTACGCTCGATCAATGCCAAGCGATAGCGAGTTTGCAGGACTGAGTCTATATTCTTATACTTTTATAATATCTCAGCGCCAGGTATTCCTCGCTTGTTGTACGCTCCATTTGCTCATATGTCCGTCTATTATTCCTGCTATTCGCGTATTTTATCAGCTGTTCTCAATCATAGCATGCAATCGTTTTTAATGTATGTAAACATTGGTGATGCTCGAGTCATTGAGGTTTTATCCCTCGGGAATAGTTCGTATAAAACTGTGAATATCATCAATGTTGTCGACTGTTCTTTCATTCACAAATAATGCCTTGTGCAAAATGATTTTACCTTCAAAAAAGTTTTTACTTTCAGCATTTATAAATCAAGTTCTATTCTACTGCGATGTATTCTTAGTCCTATTTTTGTTGCGGCTTCGCTTCTTTATTAGATTTAATCTTTTCTGTGTTCGCTGTCCATGCTTTACTCTATTCTGGATATCGAAGCACTGTTTTGTTCTTGGAATTTTCGCATAGCTGTATGGATTTCGAAGAGTGTTTGTAATTATACTATCGTATTTTGAATTGTATAACCTTAACATCAGTTATTTTCTTAACGTTTAGGCAGGTATAATATGAGGATAAAAATCATTTGCGTTGCTGTTGATAGGATCTACTGTATTGATGATAGAACGTACCCAGTTTACGATAGGATTTCCCTAATTTACGATAGGCTTTCCCTAATTTACGACGGGATGTCCCTAGTTTACGATGGGATTGTGAACTAACAGGCCTGAAAGTGAGCATTATATGACCATCATCTTCAGGTCACTTGAAAGCTTCGAATGTTAATGCTTAATTCCTAATTAGTGGCTAGCAATGTGTTTTTGTTAATGAGAATATCTCATAATGGAAAGGAGATTTAATGGAATGAACGATTGATTATTCAGTCTTTGTATATTGATTATAACTCTCCAGTTACCAGGCCTTAAAATACGAATATTCTTAACGACTGTTTATGTGGAACATTAAAACGTTATTACTAACAAATGGTGAAACGTTGTTAACTGTCGCTCGAATTGATGAAGAAGTCTTCCAATATTACCAGAGTGATTACTTGCAGGTAAATTATAAATGCAAATTTGTGCTCTGCCGATTTTGTGTTCAGTCGTGATAAACTAGTACGTAATGAAGAATGTTTCTGAAGAATCGAAGATTGCTTTTGTGAAAATTGGAACCTCAATCTTCAAGAAACGCGAAATAATTTGCACTAGGATTTTGTTGCGTTCTATGTTATAAGAATTAATGGTGAGGATTTACGTGGAACCTGAGAGCCCTCTGATAGTGGTCTAGGCCTAGTGCGAAAAATGCCTTTTTTCTGTGCCTGCAGTAAGCCCGGGTCTTCCTCTTCAAGTGCCATATTTTGGAATTGCCAAATCTGTGTAATCATTGAACACAAACTTCTGTAAATTAGGATGTACTTCTGTATGTATGCATTTTTTTCATAGGCAATGCTCTGCCCAATGCTTCCAGTGTGTTTTCCGATGTACATGTGCCAAATCGTGAGTACAAAGGCTACTGTTGGTCTCCAGAAATTTTGCGTTCCAGAAATTATAGTCTCATTTTTTTGTAATCTTGCGTGCCAGTATTTGTACAGAAAGCTCAGTGCTATATTTTATGGATTTGTTGGAAGATTTTTTTTTTGTTTTCTTGGTTAAACCTTGTACTCGTGAGAGGAAAATATTTTATTCCGTATTGTAACTGCTTTTTTTTTCTACCGCTTCTAAACATTTATAGGCTTTGTGCCATGCCTACTTAAAACGCATAAGTGATAGGCAATGCAGAATGCTGATGACAAAATTGACAAGTTTTTCTATCGCTCTGTAATCTGGCGTGCTCTTGAGTTTTTTCATTGATTTTAAATAAATTTTGAAAAAATAAGTATTATGTCATTGATCCCTGTGTTGTTTTTTGGTATTGTTACGTTTTTCATTAGTTTCTATTCGATTTTAACTGAACCTTTTCTCATCGAACTGCCTATTGGTTGCTAGGCGTAAATTTTTTTCAGCTACGGAATATATTGCCATCCCTACCTACTAAATAATCATAAAATAATGGATGAAATCTAATCTACGATCAAACTGAGAACTTTTTCCTCTTCCAGTAATCAATTTCCTATCAACATTACTATACCCGCGAGTTTTATCTATATTGCCGGATATTGCGTAGAGTTTCTCACAATCATCCACTGCTGATTCGTAATATTTTTGCATGATCTTCAAGAGCAAGAGTGTTTTGGTAGCATTTAAGTTAGACTAGCATAAGATGTGATCCATCCATCTAATGCTTAATCTTGGTCCATAATCCATTTCCCAATTTCTGTGTTACGTGTTAGTAACATTGAACAGACTTGGGATGGATTAATCAGTTCATTTTTAATTTCCTCATTTAGTCAAGATTTAAACCAATTTCTTATGTATGATAATGCTGGTATCCAGGATACTTTACTGGTCTACTTATAGGACTCAAAAATGAACTTGAGGGAGAGTCTAAAAAACTCTCTGCTTTGCCACTATGGCCGATGGAATACACAAACTGCTGTCAGGACTAAAGAGATGTAGTACCTTCGCAGCGCTCTAAACGTGTGATGTGGCGTCAGTGTAGCGCATGTCTGGTACTTAATTCAAAAGTATATCGCACATTACTCCTAAGTTGCTCGATAAAAGGTGGAATTGAAATTAGGGTTCATATATTCAAAGTCGATCATTCTTCTCTGGTCACTTGATCAAATCTACATTTAGTTATTTAGTCTCGGTTTCAACTCTCACGGCGACGGCGAGACTGTGACAGTGTCAGACTCAGAGAGTCTCGTCTCATTTTCACCAAAGTCCGGCCAATGTTGAATGTTATCCTTGAAGTTAAATGCAAAGAAAATGTCATGTTGGGCGTTATGGGGTACAAATTAAGTTGTACAATATATGTCAGGAGTATTTGTGCTGTGCATATATTCCATTTCTTAATCATAAAAATATGCACGAAACAGCACGATCAAGCTTGTCTTGGAATAGAATAGATATAGAAGTGTCGGGCGCGCCTGTCGGCATTGAAGAAATAGCTAGGCCCATGGCTCATGGCTGATGGCATGGCGACAAGTCGACAACTTGACAAGGCCTGTTGCCGATTCTTGAAGCTTGAACTTTTCGGCCTTCGGGACTTGATTCACAAGGAAGTTTTTGTAAATACGGCTAATTGTGTTAATTTGGTGTTAATAAATACCTTTTGTGTAATTATTTGTTAATAAACCCTTTGTGTTTGTGATAAGTATACAATGTATCTCTTATACACATCT